GGATATCGAATATCCGGATATGTGCCCGATAAATATCCGGATATGTACGGATTACAACGGCTAGTTTTCATAGGAGGTGTCATTAAAAATACCCACATCAGCTGGGATGAACAGTACACGACCCTAGATCATTTATTGAAGCTTTATTATTCTTGCTAGCCTATTATTGCTCATTAATTACTTACTTTGATCATTGCATACACTTGAGCTCATCTTTCCTTTGAAGTTATACATCTCTTAGTTCTTCAATTTGTTCAATCTGTACTTTGAGAGTACTTAGCCACTTCTAATCACCTCAATCTTACTTCTTGATTTGAGAGGGGAGTGAACTCTATACTTGAGAGGTTACCAAATTCCTAAGTAAATTTGGAGTGAAAAATTGTGAGGCATCAAGAGCCCGAAGTCTTGAAAGGTTGTAGAGGTTTGTCAAGCACCCTCAAGCTTGATAGTTACTGAAAAGAATTGATCGAACGACTTCAGTCTGGACGTAGGTCACAGTGGTAGTGACCGAACCAGGATACATCTAGTTTGCAATTTCTCTAACGTTTACCTCTTTACTTTATTATTGAAATTGCATCTTTAGATTGTCTTTATCTATTCGCTTGCTTACCTTTTTAATCTCTACACTTGATCTCACACTTAGATTTTTCCTCATTAAATCACTTTATTGAAGTACTAGTCTTTAAAATATCAAAGGAGGCACTTTGCGAAAAGATTTTGTAAAACTCAATTCACCCCTCCTCTTGAGTATTGAAGCCACTTGTCCAACAAATAAGAAACAATTTAGAGAAAGAAAGAGAGAGATATCAGAGAAATGGAGAAGTCTTGGGAATTTAAGAGGAAACTCTACTAGAAAAGAATGAGATAACGAAAAAAAAAAATTAAGAGTAAATGAATCTTTATCAACAAAGAAAGATAAAAGAGAATATTAAGAAGAGGATAACTTCTTTTGAGTTTTTTTTTTCCTTTTAAAATATAAATCCTTATAGCATCGTAATTTTTGTTATTTTTTTTCTCTATCCGGTCCGGATAAAATTTTGTTTTCCAGTATATTTTATGATATTTTAGAAATTAATATTTTCTACAATTTATATTTTTAAAAATTGTAATTATAAAATTAATATATTATGCAATTTATGTATATTATTCAAATTTACATTTTAGCAAATTTAAAATTTTACAATTTATAATTATCATATATGTGAAAAATATCATATATTAGATATTTAGTTTTTTTTTATTTGTATTTCTGCATGTTCTTTATTAGTAACGTCCTTAATGTTAATCTTAAAAAAATTACCCCGGTTAATTTTGTATACTAAATTTTGAATGATAAAATTTGTACTGCAAAAGTTCGTATAATTTATATTTGTCCAAGACTTTGAGTAGTGATTTAACTTTTTTTTATTTCCAATGTGAGGTGAAATTTAAAGATGAATTATATTTTATAGAATTCTTTTAGAGGTATTCGCGTGTAATGTCATCCTAAGATGTTTGTATAATTTTTCATTGGAGGTAAGTGTATGGTCAATAAACTGGGTTTCTTATATCAATGAATTCATTTCTTTGAAAAATACATTGCACGATACAAATTTTTGATACATTGAAAAATCCATTCTTCTGAAAATATTTTGGCAAAAAAACTATATATTTGTAAGGGACAAGTTATATTTACAAATATTTTGTTTACAAACTCTTATAAATTTAACTATGAATTAAGAGTAATACATGAGTTGGCTTATGTACTACTCTTAGTACATAGTTAAGTTTATAAACAAATTTTTTTTAAATATAATATTCCTCTGTTTGTAATGCTAGACTTTTTTAAGGTATTATAATTTTGGCTTAATTTATTTAAAGTCATGGAGAATATTTTAATATCCTGTATTGATTTAATAGTTTATACTTTGACATTAATTTTTATAAGATTTACATCTCAAGTCTTATTTATAATATATATGTAAAAATATAATCAAAACATATAAGTTGCGTTGCTTAATTAATAATTTAGGAATATTACATACAACATAGGCTTTATTAAAGGAAATTGTTCTTTTCTTTCCTTTTTTTTGGTATCTGTACTCATGGTGGTACATAGATGTCTCCCGTGAGGGTGAAGTATGTTGATATAGGGGGTGTCCATAGTGGCAATGGTAGAGACCAAGCACTAGTGGAGCTTCCCATGGTGCATAAAGGGGGGGTGTGTGGAAGTGGCTAAGGTGACTCTCCATGGTCATAGCCGTAGAGACTGAATGGAGAAGAAGAGAGATCCCTCCCCTCAATGTGAGAGGGGGTATTTAGAGCTGGACCTGGTCCACCTAGCCAACCTAGCCTTTTCAGGCTAGGCATGCTGAACCCCTACCCTTATGCAGGGGCAGCCTTGTGCCTTGGGAGGAGGGGGAACCCTAAGTTGCCTTCTAGAAGTGGGCTCTTTAGGCTGGGCCCAGTAGTGGGCCTAAGCTTATGGGCTATCCAGAACAGTATCCAAATTGTTCTTTTCTTTACTAATAATTTACGTTGTACAGCGATTCCCATTCAAAACATGTTTTTTGCCAATTTAATTTCTTTCTTATTTATAGTTTCTTCTCTCCTACCAAATGCCAAAATACTAGCTTGAGGAATATGAAAGCGTGTACACCTTTTGTGTGTGTGTGGGGTCAATTACACTTTTTTTATGTAAGTAAGTGCATGTGTTACCTGAATATGTTATAGCTGCGGTTTAAACCTTGGAGGAGCCACGTTGACACCTTTTGTCCATTTAAAACTGCCACTCCATTCTCACACTTGAGTTTGGATTTGGATAACATATAGGCCCATCAAGTGTATAGCCCAGAAAAGGTCTATGAAGGCGCAATAATCTCATTACACATAACACACATTAAGCATTATGCGGACTATCATGTAAAGCCGCCTTATATAACTTAAAAACTTAGGAAAGTCTTAGTAACGAGCCAAGTTCCTCGGCGCATAAGGGCCAACACAAGGAAGCTCCTGTTTGCCACTACTCTAAGAAGACAGATTATTATATAGACTTGTTCACAAAGAAAATAGCCAGAAAGGGATCAGCCCGCAATAACCAATAAGAAGGTATGCCGCCTACAAAAGGCAACATAAAACTTGCCATAAATATGAAGGGAACAAACTCAATATGATCATCTGATTCCAATTAACTATAACATATACCTAGCATCGATATTGACTTGAGCGTAAGAGTGTCTTTGTAGGTACCTCCAGTCACTTCTATTGCGCCAGAATTTCACTACATTGTCCATACACGGAGAAGTACACACTACTATAGATTCAAGCCCTCTTGTTACAATTCAAAGCCCAAAGTTTTCACCTTCAACCGTGTGTGATTTGGCCCAACCAATCTTAGACTGGTCAGATCAAAAACTATATGACGTATTAATGAAAGATTATTATTTAAGAAGAAAAAAACTCAAAAATATTTTTGCCAACGTGTTTGATCTTATAAATTAAAACATTCTTTCTTTCTTTAGCTTAGTATAACGATCCAAGACTCTTCAATTAAAAGTTTAAATTAATTTTCATGTGAATGCTATCTTATATAATTAACTAATTTGTACCCAAAAAAAAAAAAAGAGATAAATATAATATTGTTTAAAGCACTGCATCTAAGATTTTTTTTTCAGAAAAATATTATCCTAAGGTCTTCTATTCTATTGTATTATATTACGTAATTTCTATAAAATATAGACGGATGCTTATAATTATTGATTAAGTTCAACATATATAGCAATTAATTAAGCGAATACAGGGAACAAAAGGCAAGAAGTCATGCTATCATGTTTGTCCTGTGACCTAAATCGTTGAGCTCGATTGAAAAAAGAAAAAGAAATTAAGGCCCTTAATCCCTCATTGTATGATGTGATTCCAAGAAGTTGTTGCAATCGCATGATACTCTTCGTTAAAATCACCATAACTTCATGACTTAAACGTTTTGTTTTATCGAAGGCCGAACATAGTTTACAAAACTGAATTTGTCTCTGCCAGATATTTACCGTTTTGCACTGTCATCTCTATCACAAATCTAGCAGAGAGAATGCCGCAATAAGAACGTTTGGTGGGGCAAGACGATGTGTCCTTTTCAACCCTTTTCTAGTTCAAGCTTCAAGGTGTGCTGGCGTGCATTTTTCTTTTTTCTTTTTTCTTATTTTGTCTTTGGCGGGTCCTTTTTCTTCCTCCAGTTTCATATTTGATATTATTTAGTTTTTCGATAAATCAAACGTAAGCGAACGTCGTACGTAAAATGTTATCACTGTTTTTTTATAAGGGAAATAAAATAGTCATTGTATATGATATAACTTCTTCTTTTACTCTCTAAAAAAAAGTGTGAAATTCACTTCATTTTTTTTTCTATATAACGGGATCCACAATATTTATATATAACAAGAAGTGTCATGGAATATTATATCCATAAAACTCTTTTTCTAATCCATGCGGCTTATCAAGATAAGTTTTTGTCTCTTTCGATTTCATTGTGCATTGCATTGCATAGAGTTGTAGCTTTGTGTTTTCGCTTTCAAACTCCTTAACACCCGACCCACGCCCATAAACACATTCTCCTATGGTCACTGATCCTCGATATGAATTCATAAATTCATAACAAGCAAAGATATCAGCACAGGACCACCTTCAATTCAGAACAGAAAGTTAAACAAGCATGGACCACATTGGAAGCGTACAAAGTGACCAGTGACCACCACCAATAGCTAAATCCACTAAATACGACAGTATTAAATGGACACAACCGAACGGTCTTGCTCTAGAAACCTCATCAGTACTCCACGTGATCCCAAAACATGCCTAAGATATCATTTCAAATTTCCCACAAACAAAAAAAATGAAAAAATGAAAAAGAAAGAAAAAATGATGAATAATTGACAGTAAATGTGAAAACCCACATGACATTAAAGAACATTCAATATAGAGAATAGGTAACACTTAAAAATAACATAAATTAACAAGAACATGTCTGTAGAGTTGTTACCACAAATATATAGTAGATACAAATCGCAATCCATCATGTATATATATAAGCATACAATTAATTAAATCAAGCCCCAAAGCTTAATTAGCTTGCAGGGAATTACAGGTTTGAGGAGCTCCTGAAAGAACCCAGAGCCTTAGCAACTTGGGCTCTCAACACATACTGGTGGTAGATAGCAGCAATTGCAGCACCGATGAAGGGTCCGACCCAGAAGATCCACTAAACAAATCAAATACATGAACCCAATTAATTTCTACATAGGCAAGTACCAACTATGAAGGAATAAAGAGACAGATAGAGAGAGATGCATACATGGTTATCCCATGCCTTTTCATTGTTGAATATGACAGCAGGTCCAAGGCTTCTAGCAGGGTTAATGCCAGTGCCGGTGATAGGGATGGTGGCTAGGTGAACCATAAACACTGCAAACCCAATTGGAAGTGGTGCCAACACCTACATATATAGTATATAATTAAAAGAAAAAGAATTGAAGTAGTGTTGGTTATTGAGATTGAAAGATGAATGATAGAAAAAAGAGGGTATGTAAAAGACGTACGGGAACATGGGAGTCTCTGGCTTTTCTCTTGGGATCGGTGGCAGAGAAGACGGTGTAGACAAGAAAAAAGGTACCAATAATTTCAGCGCCCAAGCCAGTGCCTTTACTGTAGCCATCAGCGAGCATGTTGGCACCACCATTGTACCTGTTGTAGTAGCTCTTCTGAAAAGCCTTCACCAACCCAACACCACATATGGCACCCAAGCACTGTGCCACCATATACGAAATAGCTCTAAGCAGCGATACCTTCCGTGCCAGAAACAACCCGAACGTCACCGCCGGGTTTATGTGACCCCCTGTTCACATCATCACATCACATTCTTAATTTTATTTCACCAAATATATATATATATATATTAATAACAGTGTCAAATTTGAAGTTTACGTCTCATTCCTTAAATAAAAAAAATCAATGATGTCATGCTTTACTTACTAATCAGAGTTAAGAGTTGTTGATTTTTTTTATTTAATAAGACTATGTCAAACTTCAAATTTGATACTGTTATTAAAAGATCCTACCATATATATATATATATGTTTTTTAACTATTTATTTATTTATATATATTTGTTTTGGAAAGTGAGAAATTTATTATTATTACCGGATATGCCAGCGGTGCAGTAGACGAGGACAAAAATCATGCCGCCGAAGGACCAAGCGATGCCGAGGATGCCAACGCCGCCACAAGGGTCGCCGCCATGCGTCTGGTTGTTGTAACCAATAACGGTCAAAACGGTGATGTAGAGGAAGAGGAGAGTGGCGACAAACTCGGCTATGACGGCCCTATAGAAGGACCATTTGCGGAGCTCGGTGGCGTCGAACAGTGGCGCCGGTGGTGGGTCGCGGTAGTCCTTGTGTGTCAACCCACTGTGTGCCGCAGTCTCGGTGTCTTTTGCCATGGAGTTAAGGTCGTAGAAACAGGGGATCAGATTTGTGTGTATGTGCTTGCTTCACTTGTTCGGTTCAGGGAATGAAGTATTTATATACGGGGCATGCCTTGCTTTGTGTGCGTTACGTTACCTTGCCTGAAACGAGGTGTTTAAGCGAAATTTGATGTTTAATTAGACTTGGTTTTCCATTCCCATGCTTTGCTCCTTTTTTCTACTGTTACACTGTCCCCACCCTCCTACTTTTCTTTGTTGTGTTCCGGTTCATTCTCTAGCCAGCTCTTATTCGCTCTCTCCCTCGTGTCGCTCCTGCCCTTCTCCATCGCATCAATTAGCTTCTCAACAAGATTCACAGGTACGTTTTTTGTAGCTACCTAATTCTATAAATTGTTAGTTCTGAAAAACAAAGTTGAAAGTGCAAAGAAGCTATAATTATGAATTATGAGATAATATTATTAAAAATACAAAATTTCTGTCACGTGTACTTAATTGGTCAAATAGTATCAAGATGAATTGATTAATTTATAAATATAATACTCAGTTTACTTTGATTATACTTTGTCCCTTATATATAAATAGTTTGGATATTATTTTTAATTTAATATTTCTTGGACGGTGACAGTTTCCTTAGCAAGATTGAAAATAAATATGACTATTTTCTTCTGTATATAATTATCATATTCTTATATTTGTTTTATTTAGAAAAAAGAAAAGGAAGTTGAAGTAAAAAAAAAAAAAAAGATAGCGAGTTGCATGGGAGAAAGAAAGGGCATGGTAGTCCCGACTCCCGAAAACATCAAGACGGTAAGGGGCGACACGTGTAAACGTTGGGCAGTGAATGGAGCCAGATGGGGAAGGAGTCACATGGAAACTTGGTTATGGGGTTCCCATGAGTATGACACGAACAGGAAGAAGGGACCAAGAAAATGTGCATGGATGATGTACGTGAATATAGTGACAGAAACGCTCGAACAAAGCAACATACCCTCCTGCACCGCCTGACTATCCAGCTCATATCCATCTCATCACCCTTTTGCTCTGTGATTCCCTGGTCCCACAACCATATTTCTTTCTTTCTTTCCTTTTATGGCTAACATAGAACAATAATCTTGACATCGAAAGTCATTTTTTTTAACATGGTTTAATGTTACTTATATTATAAGAAATAAATTTATCTTATATATATATATATAGGGATATGATCAACTTACACCGGTGTAAGAATAATAAATTTTACACCAAATCTTAACCGTTGATTTTCGTGCATCTAATGGTTGAGATTTATTGGGAATTAAAAATTAATTAATGAGTGGAATCTAATAAATCTTAACCGTTAGATGCACAAAATCAATGGTTAAGATTTGGTGTAAGACTTTTTATTCTTACACCGGTGTAAGATGATCCTGCCCCATATATATATATATAGAGTCACGTGGATCCAAATGAGAAGAAGAGAAAAAAAAAAATGATATATATATGTAAAAGATGAATAAATTTATCTATTATAAGATAAGAAATAATAAATTCATTTTTAAATTTGCAAAATGATACATGAAAGTTACCAATAGCTTTGACATGTGGTAAAATCGTAGAAAGTTGGCTATAAAGCTATTCACATTTTAGGGCATATTTGAATTGTTTTGATTTTTTTTTTAATTTTCAGAAAAAAAATCTATTTGATAAAATTTGTTTTGTAATAATAGTTTTTAAAATTATAACTATTTTTTAGTTTTTAAAATTAAATTTAGAGAATAGTTGTTTTTGTTTTTGTTTTATTTTAATTTTTAATTTTTAAAATAAAAAAATACATATAACTCACTTGATTGTGACATGTGCTGCACTTGTGGCATCAAAGGATATGATTTCTGAAAAAAAAAATGGTTCCTACGCTGCCAACTGCCAAGCTCAGATACCCGAACACGAGATTTTTCAAAAATAATTGCGTGTCCGACACGTACAGATATGCTCCGACACGTTCGGATACGTGTCCGACACATGGTCAATATTTTGGAACATGTGGTAAATTTTTTGACACGTTCTGACATATTTTTCAAACATGCAGTCAATTTTTTCTGACACGTGGTCAACGCTCGGACACGTTTTTTTTTTAGTGTTAGATCTTTTATTTATTTATAAATCAATTTTTTTCTGTTATGAAATTTGACATGAAAAATTAAAAAGGTACGAAAAATTATTTTTTTTTATATTTATATTATGAAATTTGAATATTTGATTGGTTACATGACTTATTATGAACTGTTATATGTATTAAATGTAAATTATAGTATATATATATATATATATATATATATATATATATATATATTAAAATTATTATTTAATATCAAAACGTGTCTCAACGTGTCTAAATATATCATTTTTTAAAATTAATGTGTCAGCGTATCGTGTCGTGTCCCGTGTCAGTGTCCGTGCATCATAGCTCACAAGTATTGGGACATGGAATAAGAAAGTATAGTCCCAAATCAAAGAGTGCAATTCCCATAATTTACACCTTACACCGAGTTTCCCTTTTTTTTTTTTGGGTACATGAAAGGGGCAAGGCCCACACCTAGTTTCTTTAAACTTATGCAGGCCTACTTGCTTTCTTGTAATCTGGGCCCATATTCATATTTGCTTGGTTCCTTTCAATTACATCCGTGAGCCACTAATCATGGCCTTTTATTTTGCCGAAATGGACCAGTTTCGTGCCTCTTCTACCTTTTTTATTTTGCCGAAGTGGACCAGTTTCATGCCTCTTCTACCTTTTTTTATTTTGCCTTTAAATTTTACCGATTGTCCCATATGTAAAGCTTTTTCGCTTTACTGTTTGTTGACCATGAGCCTAACTTCTGGGAGTTTGTTATCATTTTACCATAAATTCAAGCAAGAATTTTTTTTAAACATAATTAAATACATAATACATGTCAGCCCATGATCAAGTATCAACCCCTAAATTCAGCAAATCAATATAATTAAGAGTTTAATATTTCTTATATGATATAAGATGAAATTATTTTCTACTCATATAAAAATATGTGAGATCTATGTAAGGTCATATGAAAAAAAAAAATACAAGCCCATATATTTTTATGCGTATATAAAAAATAATAATATGAGAAATATTAAATCCTATAATAAAATGCAGTTTACTGTTTTTAAAGCACCATTTAAAACTAAAGTCCCCCCCACTCCAACACGGAAAAAAAAAAAACAACAACTATATTTTCAATTGTATATATACAGAAAGAAGAAAAAAGATAACAGCATATTTCACAAATGTACACAGTTGTTGCGAACTCGTGATCAAGTTCACATCAGGGATTCTCTTCATAAAACTAGAACCTTCAAAACATGTTTACGGGACAAAATGTAGCAACAACATATGCTATATATTAGCATTCCAGCAAACGTTAAGGCCCCCGGTCGGACGCGAGATGCGGGTTCCACCGCTCCATGGATCTATGATGGATCCAATGTCACAAACCATAAAAGAATGCACATCAAATTAAGCAGAGATTAAGGTTGTTTATTATATATAGCTATTCATCATCATATTCCTCAGCAGCTTCTTCGGTGATGGTCTCCAAAGCAGGCGTATTAGAAGGCTTGGTTGGGGAAATTATGGGTGCCGGGGCAGCCTCCATCCACGAACTTAGGTTTCTAATTCCCTTAGCCATTGCAAAATGGTAGTATTTTCTCTCCTCCTCCTATGTGTAGAAAGAAGAGAGATATAAATTTTGTTTCTTCAAGAGAGAATCTTCCCTTACACTTGGGATTTTTAATTATTTTTTCTTTTTTGGCTAACTATATGCTAATTGTTAAGGCCCTTAAGTATATTATATAGGCGATGGAAAACAAGAAATAAGGAGCTAAAATCAGAAGTTGAAATTAAGTAGGAGATATTTTTAGAAGACAACATAAATAGGAGGTAAATCTAGATTGGCGATTTTAACGAAACAACACGTGGAGAATGAAAGACTCTTCGGAAGCTTCGTTTATGGTATAACCACTAAAAATGTACGAAAGAAAAGCTCCGGGAATGGCGGGGCGAATAATGTAACCAGAAACGTGTACATTGTATAATTGGTTCGTGGTCGGCAAGTCCCACACCCAAACGAATTGCCCGTTTGAGAGGCAAAAGAAAATGTCAACAACAACTCACATTTCTATTCTCCATCAAATATTCGTCTTTTTTAAGCCCAAATATAATTGGCAATTTGAAATAGCTTCCAGAAGATAGTGTGATTAAAATTAGTAATTGCTTTAAATATGGAAAAAGTTATAACATGTTATCAATTTTTTATTTTTTTTGGATACAATCCTTTCAACGTGTTACCACTTACCAGTATATTCCTTAAGAAATAATTTCCCTTTTCTTTAAAATAAAATAAAATAAGGCACTCAATATTCTTTAGACTCCTTAAAATCCAAATTTAATTCTTTTCATGACATACTTCTCTTTTTCAGAAATAACTCTTTTTGTATTTAAAAAAAAAATATTACTACTTTCTCTTAGATTTTTACTTTTTTCTAATAAAAACAATTCAATTATTTTGAAAATTTGCAAACATATTTGTTAATTAAAAGTAGTGTTTTTAGAAGAAGAAAAATTCAAACAAATAGGCCATAGACATATGTTATAAACTTCTTATCCTTATACAAATATTTTGTTTTTGTTATTATTAGAACAAAATCAAATCAACTTTCTCAGCTTATGCTGTTTTGATATGGTTGACTTAATTTTGATCTAAACGTAATAAAATAAATCTAAGAGGTTATATGTATTATGTGTAACTGTAGCTTATTACTTATCAAAATGGAACTTTATTTCTAAATATATACGCATGCAAACTGCAACTTGTTTTATCTTATGAGGTGTCTCATAATATTGCATTATATGTGAACCTTAAGACAGGTTGGAACATGGGCCGGTAAATGAAAGATAGAGATGGTTCCTTTCAAACCCATTTTGCACGGGTTATTATTATACAACAGCGAGGTTTTCAAAAAAATAAAATAAAAAATATTATACAACAGCGAGAGGACAATGGACATGCATTTATTAGGTTTGGTTTATTTTTCAAGTTTTTTTTGGTGGAATTAATGACTTCAAATTAATAATATAAAGAATTAATTCAACCCAAAAGCTTAAGTTGAGAAATATTTATGATACTATTGTTGTATGTATCATTCACTCAGTACATTTATCCAATAAAAAATGGGGAATGACTGTCAGGCTTGTATAGAAAAGAGAAAAAAAAAAAAAAAAAGTTTAATGGAGATCTCGGCGATTGGTGAACCATCCGCTGAGGAGGTTGATCTC